TTAGTTAATGAACTAAGTGAGTAGGGTATTGCACCTTGAATTAAGATAGGTGATAGTGAACTTAATTAACAATTTAAACTGAAGTGACTCTTATGTAGTTAATCTAAGTTAAAGACTAGGGATGTTTTACATATAAATATGTTGAACTCAATAAGAGGGAGAATATGAGAGCTAGAGTTCGAGAGGAGGCTAGAGAAGAAGAGGAAAGAAGGTGAAGGGAAGAGAGCTTGAAAACAACTTCTCTAGATCAACTCACCAAGGTAAGGATTCTCCATAATTTCTTGCATGAAGATGAAATTCTAGTTTGAACTCACAAGGTTGAGGGTGAGAGTGAGGAGTTGGGTAGTATAAGTCTTGTTGTGAACCTAACAAGAGGAACTCTTCCACTTCCTTGTCCACATACCAATACTCAAGTCCATTGACATGATTTTGTATGGTCTTCCCTTAAATTTCCATGGTTTGTAAAAGCATAGAATTAACCTAAGCATAAATCCTTGTTTCTTTTATTTGTGAAGGTGTTAATGGAATTGAGGAATTCAAAGCTAAATTCAATTCATAATTTGAGTTTGAATCTTGTTTGTACATTATGTTTGTTAATTTGTGACCTTCATTTGGTTGGATTTGGGTTTGATTCTTGGGGATTTGGAGTACCAAAAATAGGGCAAAATTCGGTTATGGAACACCCAGAACCGCACGTACGGCAAGGGAGCCCGTACGTGCGGGAGTGCACTGGCGCACGTGTGGCAAGTGGGCTGCATGTGCGGATTTCAGGGGAGGACTGGGGAGCATTATGTCTAAAAAGCACGTAGGGGCGCACGTGCGGCTGTTTGGCTGTCTCGGGTTCACTTTTTTGGGTCGTTGACTCCATTCTCAAACCTCCGTTAGTATGTTTTACGCTCATATATGATGTCCAATTGCATCGCATAAACGTTTAACAAGTGTGATTTACATATTAACCCATGAATCCCTAAGTTGTGAAACTAATTCGTTGAGTGTTTGTTGCATAAATGAACAATGCGTAAATCTATTTGTGTAGGTCAAACACCTCATTCCAGTCGTCTGCAACACGAAATGGACTGTGAGTAACACTACTATGAATGTATATATGATTTAAATTACCTTTTCTCTGATTCAATTTATATGTTAACATGATATGTCTTTCTTGTGAATGAATGAATGGTTATCCTATCCCAATTTCCATTAGTACTACCATAACTTTGGCACCTTTTTATGTGAATACAACTCAGTTAGTTCCATTTCATGGAACTCTTGTTTAACGTGGCAATAGCTACCATATATGATCTTCAATCTTTATGACCGTTTGTTCGGTCTTCTTGACCGCCTGTCCGGTTTTCGTGACCGTCTGTTCGGTCTTCTAGACCGCCTGAATTTACTGCTTCTGATTGTACTCCGTGAAATGTTATGCTTCTTAAATATTATATGAAGCTGCTCAGCTTGCGTGTCATTTTATGTTTTAATTATCATTCATAATATTGTTACTCAATTGTTATTCACTGGGCCTAGCTCACATTTTGGCATGCCATGTAGGTGATCCAGCTCAAGAAAAAGCGTAGTGGCGTCGGTCTTGCTCCGGTTTTGTCAAGTTGTACAATGTGCCCCACTGCGAGGTTTTCATCTTTCTAGGTGTTGATGTGGCCAGTGTTCTCCCTTTTGAACTTCGTTCTTGTGTTGCGGTCGGTTGACATTAGCATAGTAGTTATTGTCAATGGGAATAACATTTCTCTTTTGGTTGCCTTTGTGGACAAACTCGTAAAAGCATCTTGTACTTCTGTATATATATATATATATATGTATGTATTGCATTGTCTTTGTCTCATTTAATTCACAGCTCATTGGACGTTTCGTTTTCTTGCATAATAGCTTCCGCTAGCCCTGTTTATTTGCTTTACTCAGTTAGGCCTTCGGTAGTCACGGATTGCTGGCCGGTTACGGCCCCGAACCTGTAGGGACGGGTTTGGGTCATGACAATGCACATGGGAGCTTTGCACCTTTGTAAGTTTAGTTCTAAAGGCTAGAGTTGATGGCCATTGATGCTAAGTTTTATGGTAGCCTTCGTGGTTAAGACTTCTTCCCTACAAACAGTGGCAGAGCCACATGGTGACCAGGGGGGTCACGTGTCCCTCCTGAATTTTTTATTTTTATTTTTTTTACATATGTATATAAATAAAATTTTAAACAAAAATAATATTTAGAATAAAATGTCAAGAGCATTTTTAAATTTATTGTTTTATTGAAAATGAAGTGACTACAACAAATTATATTTTTATGTATGAAAATTTTGTAAAAAATCTCAATATAAAGGTAATATTCATCATTATTGATATGTAAATATAATTAATCTTACTATATATATGTAAAAATTATTAGAGTGTTAGTTATATTTACATATGGAGTTCACCTTTCATATGCTACTTTACTATTGATTGGTGATATCATATGTCAGTAATGACGTGATATCACTATTATATGAAATTTTTACTCAAATTTTGTAAAAAATTGATTTATATTACCATTATATAATTTATTTTAAGTCTTAAATATATGAATTTTTTATATTGTCCATGATACACTAATTACATGCACTACTTTCTTTTCGATTTTACTTGAAGTTAATTGTAAAATTTTATGTGAAATACTTTTGTAATAATTTATTTAAGTTTTTGTACTTAATATTAACTCAAAAATTATTATTATCTTCTTTTTGTTGGTTATGGAATAAAAATTAAAGTTGTAATAAAAAAGTGTCCCTTCTGATTTAATTTCCTAGCTCCGCCACTGCCTACAAGTATAAAAAGTGTCTTTCCCCTCAAACTTAAAAGAAGAGTTTTGAGAGATTTTTGATGGAAAATGAATATATTATTTTGAGATAATAAAGTTGGAAATGATTTTTTACACTAACGAAAAATTTTCCTATCTTTTGTCAGTCCGTTTTTTTGTTCTTGTTAAAGAGAGTGCAACCATTATCAAGTTCGCCAAAGCTAACAGAAGGTGCTTCTACTTTAGCCCGATCTAAATTGTTATATTTTTGGAGACAAAAGTGAACGTTTCTTCAACACCCACGGTGAGGTAGCTAATCTGTTTTAAGGACACTATGATATTGCACAAACTTCGGGTTACTTCCTTCTACTAGTTTTGTGTATTATGAATTTCTATAAATTCTAGCATATCCTTGTTCTAAAATTCAAAGTGATTGTTCAATATGAACTTATTTATTTTATTCAAATACACAATTTATACAATAGTTATCACATAAAGTCTCGTAAATTCTTATAAATATACGTAAGTTATGATTTTTAAAATTTTTATAAATTAATTTACATATATTTATATAATTTATATAATTTTTTTAAACAACTTACATATAAGAACTTACGAAAATAGATATCATATTCAAGGGTGCCTCTATTTACCCACCATAAATTATCTCAAGGCAATCCACTTCTAAAAGCACACCTTTAATAATTTAGTATATATATATTTTGCTCATCACACACCATAAATTTACATATTTGTCCTTACTCACACACCCATCCACAACAATATACACACAAACTCCCATATTTACCCTTACTCACTCACACACCCACCTTCGTCCATCTTTCACCCTCAATTCTCAGTTTCAAGCGGTGAACACTGTGTTGGTGCTCAACACAGAGTTAAGTAGTGGTGAAGACGTCGTTGGTGCTCAACAAGACCCCTAGATCCAACATTACGGCATTTCACGGATGCATAGTTCTGAAAAAAAATATAAAAAATAAATTTATAACTGTTCGGTAGTACAGAGTTGAATTAAATGAAATAGTTCGACCTTAGTAATCCGAACAAATTGCATTTGTTCGGTTTTCGATAGTCGAACAAATGGAATATGTTCGCTTATAGTCTGTTGATCATATATAATTTGTTCAATTGTAATCTGTTGAACATATGTAAGTTGTTCGATTGTAGTTTGTTGAACATATGCAATTTGTTCAATTGTAGTCTGTTAAACATATGTAAGTTGTTCGATTGTAGTTTGTCGAACAATGATATACTATTCACCTCTGGTTAACCGAACAACGATTTACCACTCATGCACAAAAACAAAGACAAAAACAACAAAAAAATAACCTTTTCGTTGCTCCATTGTTCCGAATGAGAATTGTCAGATGCATCATTCATTGAATCCAATCAAAATCTTCAATAATACTATATTTTTTATTATTTGTTGAAGGGTTTTTGATTTTGTTTTTAGGGTTTTTGGATTCTTGACAGAGAAGATACGTAAGGAACAAGTTTGAAAATGATGAATTATATTATATTGATTCTTGTCTTTTATGGTAAATACACAAATAATATGTATCATAACTTGTTCTCTTTAATTATTTCACTTAAAATTAAAATTGTAATTAAAAATAAATTAATTAATAATTTGTCTTAAGAAGAAAAATGATGCGTAAATAGAATGACCCCATATTCAACCCATTAAGAATTGGTCTTTTACAAAATGGTCCCAATTTGCGAAACCGCCTTGCATTTTGAGACCCTGTGTTGTGTAGACTTGTAGAAGGGACTGTGTCTATGTGTCACAAGCACTTCTATATATAAAACGCGCCTCATTCTTCGTCTCGAAGGGTTAACTCTCTCTCTCTCTCTCTACTATCTGGGGTTTCGCTTATTTTCTCTCTCTACTCTTCTCTTCTCTCTGTTGACATCTCGCGTTTCTCTGTATATTCGAAGCTTCGGAAGTGACGTGGCGCGCCCCCACTGGCTGAAAACTCAAAAAATAAAAAAATAAAAAAATTTTTTTTTTAGACCAATCCCGAGGTGACACCTCACTTGGGGTCGACCCCAGTGGGGGTGGAAAGCATTTTTCTTTACAAAATGGTCCCAATTTGCGAAACCGCCTTGCATTTTGAGACCCTGTGTTGTGTAGTCTTGTAGAAGGGACTGTGTCTATGTGTCACAAGCACTTCTATATATAAAACGCGCCTCATTCTTCGTCTCGAAGGGTTAACTCTCTCTCTCTCTCTCTACTATCTGGGGTTTCGCTTATTTTCTCTCTCTACTCTTCTCTTCTCTCTGTTGACATCTCGCGTTTCTCTGTATATTCGAAGCTTCGGATGTGTTTTCATCCACCGCTCTTGTCTCTCTCTCCTAACCAGGTCTGCCCCTCCTAACCAGGTCTGCCCCCTCTCTCTCTCTCTTTCTCTCTCTCTCTCTCTCTATATATATATATATATGATCTCTTTGTTCATTCTATACTCAATCGAAACCTATTTTACAGTTTCAGTCTAAGATTTTGATTTTTGGCTACATCTACGTGTATATATGTGTGTTTGCAGTGTATAGAAGTAGATTAATAGAGGTGTGATGGCGGCCCTAAGATCGAGCATGCCGTCAAGGTTACGGCAACTATTGTCCAGCGAAGGAACTATCGGTCCCTCTGTTAAACTCGACTCAGACCCTGTGAGTTTTTTCTTAACTCTGTGTTTGTTTTTATGGGTTTAGGGTTCTATGTCAATTGATAATTGATTGGACTGTGCTTAGGGTTTTGTTGGCATTTTATGTTTTATTTCTTGTAGAAAAAGATTGGATAAAATGGGTTCTGGTATGTGCGATTGTCAAGATATGGTGAAATTGGGTAGGGCTAAAGTAGGCATTAGCTTTGGGCGTTCTGTTATATTTGTTTGGGTTTCCAGTTGATGCAGCTTTGTGTTTTTGAATGATGGTTTTGGAAGCGTCTATTTATTAGCTATGGTAATTTATGTTGTGATTAGTCTTCTACTATTATGGCATATTAGGGGATAATTTTGATCACCGTTCATTTGGACAGCGGCTTTGGGCCCATATTATGACTATCAACAGCTTAATCCGTCGGTGGCATATGTTGGTTAATTGGTATTGCATGTGTTGTGGTGATGCGGAGACGGTGGATCACTTGCTTATTCATTTTCTTGTTGTGCCTCGGTTATGGAGATTATTGCTTTGTTTGGATTGGTTTGGGTGCAACTAGGTTCTATGTTGGGTGTGGTTCAATGTGGGTTGGGGCTAGGGTAGGTAGGAGGCGTCGGAAGGCTTGGCTTATTGCTTTTCATTGCTTACTTTGGTTGGTTTGGATGGAGTGTAATAGGCATGCTCAATATGTGTGTCATTTAGTTCATTGGTTAGAGAGTAGGCTTTTGTTGGTTTTGCATAGTTGGGTGACAAGTTCTATTGATACCATTGTTTTGACTTTTGTAGATTTTGTGGAGGATTTGATTAGTTAGGTTGTTGGGCCCAAAATGGATTATTTTCCTTGTTTATTCTTTACATCATCTTGATATTTTTCTAATAAAGTTTGATTATTTATCAAAAAAAAATAAAAATAAATAAATAAATAAAATTGATCACTGTTATACAACCCAACCGTCCAAAGTACTTTGGAGGTAAAGAGTTAGAGGGTAATTATGTTTCGCTGAAATTCTTGAGGTTTCTTGAATCTGAATGAGAAAATAGAAGTGTGTGGATAAATGATATTTTATAGCGAAATAGGCGGGAAATCGATGAATTTGATTAAGTTCATTTGCGGTGCAATGTGTAATAATGAAACCACTTACCATTGAAGGACAAAGACATTGAAAATATGGTTCCTTAGGTGCCTTATTTTGTTTAAACCTTCATAACTCAACCACCATTTAATTTTAAATTTAATTTATCATGGTTTTGGGGCAATATGTCCAACCATTTTTTTACTTTTTATTTACAAGGGACATGACTAAACTCCAAGTGAACTTTTGTTATTTTTCGAAAGATTGTTTTTAAAAATACCATTATTTTATTTTGTAAGTATAATTATTTGAATCCAATTTAGCTAGAATGTGAATGTGGGCAGAAAACAATTTTGTAGTCTATTTGTGTAATAAAAAAGAAGAAGATTGCTGTGTAGTCAAATTAAAATAGTGAAGTTATCATATGCAAACATGGGTTTTTGTATATTTTTATCGGAGTTGGATTTGCATTAGGAATCATGCATTTGGGTAATGTGTTTAGCCTACTGGAGACATTTTATTAAATCATGAAGCTAGACTCTTGGTTGAGTGACTTGGTAAAAAAAACCGACTGATTCATGCATCTGACCAATTCTTGCCTCATCCACCACTTAATCAACGAAAGAGAAGTACACGTGGCCTCCACCATATGAGATGGAGACTATTATACTTTGGCTCTTCCTTTTGTGGGGAGGACAAAAATTCGATGCCTTTTTATGTTTGGCGATAATTACTTATGGGAGCGTGAATGCGGGTGACTGCTAGATTGCACCACAAGAAAGAAGGACAAATGGAAGTGGACTAGGGGGTCATCACATGTTTTATTTAGGTGTTTTTTTTTTTTTCCGAGTCCACCTCGACTTCCACTTAGTGAGTTTTGCCTCAAAACCGAAGGGAATTGCAGAATAGAGACAAGTTTCTATGTGATTGAAGTCTATGTTTTGTAGACTAAAGTTCATGGTTATAGATACAAGTTCCAAAGGCTTCTCCAAGTTTTGTCTATAGCTCGTTCATAAATTCACTCAACTACTTAGACTTAACGAGGAAGTCCACTTAGAACTTGTTAGATGAGTTTCATGTAGCTGTGGATTATGTGAGCAGCATAGACACTTTATTAAATCATGAAACCGGACTGTTGGTTGAGTAATTTGGTAAAATAATGGACCGGTAGTATTACCAGGAAACACTAACACCCTAGCGATTTACGTTTTGGAATGCACATTTTGAAACATGGTACATTTTCATTCCAAAATGATAAATTAAGCGATCTAGAGCGATCCTATTATTTTTTTCTATGTTTTTCATTAAAAGTTATCCTTGATAGGGAAAAAGTTAAATGTAATGAACTAAAATCTAAATGGAGTGGAGTTTTGGATTTGCCTATGTAAAACAATGGGTCATATTGCTTATAGAATTGTGTTGTTGAATGATTAATTTGAAAGAAAATATACTATAATATATTGGATGTCAAATAAAGAAGTCTACACCTCTTTTGGAGCATGTGGTATACCACATTTTCATTCCTATTTCTTGTCATACCATAATGATCCATGTTCTAGGTAACATAGGACCAGTGTGAACTTATTGCATCTTGCTTTTCTCATTAATAGCATCTTCCAAGTTTAAAATATATTGTAAACGAGGTTTTTCTTGTTTTGATTTATGTTTTCACATTAAATAACATGAAATTATAAATTTTGGAAAAGTTAGTGGGAGAATAACGTGTTGTGGAAACTAAAAACCATTTTGTGAAGGATTTATTCTTTTGTTTTATAAGTATTTTTTTGTAAATTTGCCTTGGCCTTCACAAGACCAAATTAAATTGATCATGCATTTCCCTTGTAATTCAACCTCTCCTTACCAACCTCCATTTTCCCCCCTTAATGCCATGTTTGGTTCTTTCATTAGTAGAGGGAAAGAAAAGGGGAGGGAAAATAAAAGAAATGAAAAATTAAATGGGAGAATCTTAAATACCTTATTTGTATTGGGTTGGGTTGAAAAAAATGATATTAAATGAATTGACAATCCTTGAGAAATCTTTTTTGGTTACCACTAGGAATAGCCACCATTAGTATAAAAAAAAAATATTTACATATCCTTTTTTTTCACTCAACAAGACCCAAAAAAAATAAAAATCTTTTTTTTTCTTGGACTTTTGCCTCAAGATGTGGAGATTTACGTTGAACCTGCTGTTACTTATTAGCCATTATTATGTTGCTCACCAATCTCCCTGGTAATTATGTATGGTTTGACCCTGCCTAATTACCCATCCTTTTCAATATGCATAATGTGAACATAGCGTCATGGATGTTCACATTTTGGGGTAGTTGTGTTTTGTTATTGCCTGTGTGCTCAGGGGTTCCTTTTACCCTTCCAATTCAACTATGTGCGTGAGCTTGATATGAGAACAAATGCTGCTCATTTTATACCAAAATACATGGCTACAAGTTCAGCTACATATTTAGCATTTAAATCATGTTGTAATATCTGATTATGTGACACTGATTGAGTACCCCACCCTATGGGCAAACTTGAGGTAAAAATAAACGTTGCAAGACTAAAACTAAATTGCTCACTTACATGACAAAAGACTTGCGAAAGACTTTTGGAATTTGGTTAAGCGGAGTTCAAGGCTTGGCATGAATGCATGAGTTACACTACTCAAAGAGTGACATACAAATGTGGTTAGCATTCTGCTTCTTATGGTTATGGGTAATAATTACAGTGATCTGCATTATTATGAAAAAAGTGGAATAGGCCACTGCATTTCTATAGTGCATATGGTGGTCTGTTGCTTTTGATGGATGTGCCTACATTGTTGCGATTTGGTAGTTGTGCGAAACAAGCATTTTGAGTTTTCTAATTCATGCAATGTAGCCAGGGTTACTGGAACTGCTGCGTTCATAAGTTTAATCTGGAGGACAGTGAGTGGGTTATTATGTGGCCATAGATGCTTATTATGGTCTAGTTATAAAGTAATTTGGATACCTTTTCTCAAGGCATAATCTATAAAATAACAGAAATGCTGCCATCACTAATGGATGAGGTTTTTCCTTTGCATTCCCCCGTTTTGTTTATGCTTTTTTTTGACACTGTATATTTAATTGCAGCCTCCTAAAATAAAAGCATTCATTGACAAGGTGATTCAGAGTCCATTACAGGACATAGCAATACCTCTTTCTGGATTTCGTTGGGAATATGGCAAGGTGATAACTTTGACTTCTGTGATATCTCTTGAATGTTTTACCCTTTTGGTTGTTCACTAATTTGTTTTGTGGATTTCAGGGAAATTTTCATCACTGGAGGCCGTTGTTTCTGCACTTTGAGACATACTTTAAGACATACTTGTCCTGTAGGGGTGATCTACTTTTGACAGATAATACTCTAGGAGATAATAGTGCATTTCCAAAGCAAGAAGTTTTACAAATTTTACGAGTGATGCAAATAATTTTAGAGAATTGCCATAACAAGAGTTCATTTAGTGGTCTAGAGGTAAGTTGGAGATGATTGATGCACAATTGTTAAAAAGGATTCCAATGTGAAGATAACCTGCATTTTTATATTTTATGGTGCATCACTTGTGTGCTTTCCATGACATTTTACTTTTATAACCATTTACAAGTGTTTTCTGTCTAATTGCTTTGTTGTTTCTTTTCAGCATTTCAAACTCCTCCTTGCATCAACAGACCCTGAGATTCTAATAGCTACCTTAGAGACTCTTTCTGCATTGGTGAAAATAAATCCCTCCAAACTACATTCAAGTGGGAAGTTGGTTGGGTGTGGCTCAGTGAATAGCTGTCTCCTGTCTCTAGCACAGGGGTGGGGAAGCAAGGAAGAAGGCTTGGGTTTGTATTCATGTGTTATGGTGAATGAGAAGACCCAGGAGGAAGGCCTGTGTTTGTTTCCATCTGAGGTTAACAATGATTGTGACAAGTCCCAGTACCGGTTAGGATCAACCCTTTATTTTGAATTCCATGGTGCTACTTCCCAAAGCACTGGGGAAGATACCGATGGTTCAAAGTCTTCTAGTGGGTGTGTTATTCACATCCCAGAGCTCGATTTGCGGAAGGAGGATGATCTGTCGCTTATGAAGCAGTGCATTGAGGATTACAATGTACCTACTGAACACAGGTTCTCCTTACTGACCAGAATCAGATATGCTCATGCCTTCCGTTCTGCCAGAATATGCAGGCTATACAGTCGGGTCTGTCTACTTGCATTCACTGTCCTTGTTCAGTCTAGTGATGCTCATGATGAACTAGTCTCCTTTTTTGCTAATGAGCCGGAGTATACAAATGAACTAATTAGGATTGTGAGATCTGAAGAAACTGTTCCTGGAACCATTAAAACTCTTGTAATGCACGCCTTGGGGGCACAATTAGGTGCATATTCATCATCTCATGAACGGGCAAGGATTTTGAGTGGGTCAACCATCAGTTTTGCTGGGGGGAACCGTATGATTCTCCTGAATGTCCTACAGAGGGCAATTTTTTCACTGAATGATGCTATTGATCCATCGTCTATTGCATTTGTTGAGGCCCTTCTGCAGTTCTATCTGCTCCATGTTATATCTTCTTCAACTTCTGGGAGTGTTGTCAGGGGATCAGGAATGGTTCCCACATTCTTACCCCTTTTAGAGGATTCTGATCCTATGCATATGCATCTTGTCTGTCTTGCTGTGAAGACCTTGCAAAAGCTTATGGATTACAGTAATACGGCTGTGACCCTTTTTAAAGATTTGGGTGGAGTAGAACTTTTGACCCATAGAATTCAGGTAGAAGTAAACAGGGTCATCGATTTGGCTGGAGGACATGATAATTTAATGATTGTTGGGGAATGCTCAAGGAACAATGATGATCAGTCGTACACCCAGAAAAGACTCATTAGGATATTGTTGAAGGCACTTGGCTCTGCTACTTATACCCCAGCAAACTCTACAAGATCCCAGAACTCCCATGATGCTTCCTTGCCTGCCACACTGTCACTGATATTCAGAAATGTGGATAAATTTGGAGGTGAGATTTATTCCTCAGCTGTGACTGTTATGAGCGAAATTATTCACAAAGACCCTACTTGCTTTACTGCTTTGCATGAATTGGGTCTTCCGGATGTTTTTTTAGCTTCTGTAGTTGCTGGAATACTCCCTTCTTCAAAGGCTATTACATGTATTCCTAATGGCCTTGGTGCAATTTGTCTTAATGCCAAAGGCTTGGAGGCTGTGAAAGAGACTATGGCATTGCGGTTCCTTGTTGATGTCTTCACCTCAAAGAAATATGTAGTAGCAATGAATGAAGGTATTGTCCCTTTGGCAAATGCTGTGGAGGAGCTTCTACGACATGTGTCTTCATTGAGAAGCACAGGTGTTGATCTAATCATTGAAATTGTTAATAGAATTGCTTCTGTAGGGGACAGTTGTATAGGATCATCAGGAAAAGTTAATGGGAGTACTGCAATGGAAATGGATTCTGAAGACAAGGAAAATGAAGCTCCTCGCTGCCTGGTTAGTGCAACAGATTCAACTGCAGAAAGCATCACTGATGAGCAGTTTATCCAACTATGCATCTTTCATGTGATGGTTCTGGTTCACAGAACGATGGAAAATGCTGAAACATGCCGGTTATTTGTGGAGAAGTCGGGGATTGAAGCCTTACTGAAACTTCTATTGCGTCCAAGTATTGTGCAGTCATCTGAAGGGATGTCTATTGCTTTACATAGCACCATGGTTTTCAAGGGTTTTACTCAACATCATTCTGCTCCTTTAGCACGTGCCTTCTGTTCCTCTCTTAAGGATCATCTGAAGAAAGCTTTGAATGGATTTAGTGTGGCTCCAGGATCCTTTCTGCTGGATCCTAGGATTACTCCAAATAGTGAAATCTTTTCTGACCTTTTCCTGGTTGAATTCCTTCTATTTCTTGCTGCCTCGAAAGACAATCGTTGGGTAACTGCGTTACTTACTGAGTTTGGAAATGAAAGCAAGGATGTACTGGAGGATATTGGACATGTTCAACGTGAAATTCTATGGCAGATTGCTCTACTTGAAGATGCTAAGCTTGAGATGGAGGATGATGGCGCTGGTTCTTCTGCTGAGTCACGGCAGTCAGAGTTTACAAATGAAACTGAAGAGCACAGATCCAACTCCTTTAGGCAGTTTCTTGATCCATTGCTGAGAAGAAGGATGTCAGGGTGGAGTTTTGAATCACAATTCTTTGATCTTATAAACCTGTACCGTGACCTTAGTCGTGCTTCTGGTCTTCCACAAAGAAGCATTGATATTCCTTCAAACCTGCGACTCGGAGCCAGTCATCAGTCACATCAGTCTGGTTCTTCTGATGGAGTTGGGGCCAGTGGTAGAAAGGAGGATGACAAACAGAGATCCTATTATTCTTCTTGTTCTGACATGGTGAAGTCACTTTCTTTTCACATTACCCACTTGTTTCAGGAGTTGGGAAAGGTAATGTTGCTTCCATCTCGTAGACGGGATGATATGTTGAATGTTTCGCCTCCTTCAAAATCAGTGGCTTCTACCTTTGCAACCATTGCACTTGACCAAATGAATTTTGGAGGTCATGTGAATCCCTCTGGATCAGAGGTGTCTGTATCGACAAAGTGCCGATACTTTGGTAAGGTTATTGATTTTATTGATGCCATTCTACTGGACAAGCCAGATTCATGCAATCCTGTTTTCGTAAATTGTTTATATGGCCTTGGGGTTGTTCAATCAGTTTTGACCACATTTGAAGCTACCAGTCAGTTGCTTTTTGCGGTAAACAGGGCTCCTGCTTCTCCCATGGAGACTGATGATGGAATTTTAAAGCAGGATGAAACAGATAATGCTTGGATACATGGTCCCCTGGCCAGCTATGGTAAACTTATGGATCACCTGGTGACTTCATCTTTCATTTTATCTCCATTTACAAAGCACTTGCTTACACAACCTCCAATAAATGGGGATACTCCATTTCCAAGGGATGCTGAGACATTTGTAAAGATTCTCCAGTCCATGGTTCTTAAAACAGTCCTACCTGTTTGGACTCATCCTCAGTTTACTGATTGCAGCTATGATTTTATTGCCACGGTTGTGTCTATAATCCAGCACATTTATTCTGGGGTTGAAGTTAAAAACATTTCTAGCAACAGTGGGCCCCGTACAGCTGGTCCTCCACCAAATGAATCAACTATTGCGACAATTGTCGAGATGGGGTTTTCTAGGTCCAGAGCAGAAGAAGCTTTGAGGCACGTTGGATCAAATAGTGTGGAGCTGGCTACGGAATGGCTATTCTTGCATCCAGAGGAAACCCAAGAAGATGATGAACTTGCTCGTGCACTAGCTATGTCTTTGGGGAACTCTGCATCAGACACAAAGGAAGATGTTGCTATTGAAAATAGTCAACAAATTGAAGAAGAGATAATTCAACCCCCTCCTGTGGAAGACTTGTTATCAATATGTACAAAGCTTTTACAAATGAAAGAATCTATTGCTTTTCCACTTCGGGACCTTTTGGTTATGTTATGCTCTCAAAATGATGGTCAATACCGGTCAAATGTTGTCATGTATATTATAGAGCAGGTGAAGCTTTGTAATTCCGACAGTGGAAATGGTAACATGCTACATGCCCTTTTTCATGTTCTAGCTTTAATTTTTCATGAAGATGCAGTGGCACGAGAAGTTGCCTCGAAGGCTGGTGTGGTGAAGGTTGCCACAGATCTGCTGTCACATTGGGTTTCTAGTTCATGTGACACGGAGAATTCCCAAATTCCGAAGTGGGTAACAGCAGCTTTTCTGGCTATTGATAGGCTGTCACAAGTGGATCAAAGGTTGAATGCTGATATTGCAGAGCTGTTGAAGAAGGATGATGTTGGTGGCCATCAGACATCTATAGTAATTGATGAAGATAAGAAGAACAAGTTGCAGTCATCATTGGGATTATCTTCAAAGAATATAAGTATACAGGAACAGAAGAGACTGATTGAGATTGCCTGTGGTTGTATCGGGAACAAGCTCCCTTCTGAAACAATGCATGCTGTTTTGCAGCTATGTTCTACTCTCACCAGAACTCATTCTGTAGCTGTTAGTTTTCTTGATGCTGGGGGTTTGCCTTTGCTGCTTTCCTTGCCGACAAGTAGCCTGTTTGTTGGGTTTGACAGTATTGCTGCTACTATAATCCGTCATATCCTAGAAGATCCTCAGACTCTCCAGCAAGCAATGGAATCTGAGATACGGCACAGTGTTGTGACTGCTGCTAACCGACAATCCAATGGAAGACTTATCCCCCGTAATTTTCTTTTAAATTTGACTTCTGTCATCTCACGGGATCCAGTGATATTTATGCAGGCTGCTCAGTCTGTATGCCAAGTTGAAATGGTAGGTGAAAGGCCGTACATTGTCCTACTGAAGGATCGTGACAAGGATAAATGCAAAGAGAAAGAAAAAGAGAAGGAGAAAGCAGTGGAGAAAGACAAAACACAGACTACT